TACTGGCCAAAGTGTTCACCTTCATTTATTTGTGTGTTTACACACACACACAAATATGTTTAATATATTATTTAATATACATATACAAGACATATTTCAGTACACAAGAATGTCACTGTCACACAAATGTTCTGTTTTTTATACATGTTTGTGAGCACACATGCACACACAGATACAGGTGGGTGTCTCTGAGTGAATACAGAAACTGCCAAAAAAAATTAAAAATCTGAATGTAGGACAGATACTAGGCACCCATTCCCCTCCATTATGCTAAGTCAAGTCTCTCTTTCCCATCCTATCACATCCTATGTCACAATAATCAAAAATAGGAGGTCTAAGCTCTTTTTCAGATAAAACCAAAATTTACTGGATTCACATCTAGGAGACTGAGTGAGTCTAAACAAAGACTTAATGTCAAAAAACTGGAATTTTTAAGTATTTAACCAGTCCCCCTCTCCCCAGTTTTCCTTACTTTTCAGAGATATTGTTCAAACTATATCAAAACATGTTTTTAGTTACATTTAAAACAAATAAAAAATTTTTCCAGAATAGACCAAATAATATAAAGTAACACAGGTGTGAATCCTAGAAATTGCTTGGCTGCCTTAATAACCCTAAAGAAAACATTTATTTTAGCCAAACAATTTTAATGTTTGTCTCCTTTTTAGAAACATCTGCTGCCAAAATAAACATTTGCATTGGAAGAAGTGTTTTGGCTGTTCAGATGATACCAAATAAAATGCTTATGTTCTAAAATAAATATTTTACTCAAAAAACACGTAGCAAAATAGACATAGCCAAAGGGTATAGAAGACAAACTAAAGGCACAAATTAGAATAACTTTGCTTTTTAAAGTCCTCTTCAAAAGAACTACTTTTAATCCAGGTTTTCTTTTTCAGACCTCAAGAATGTCCACATTTAATTCAGTTTTTATTTAGATTTAAAGTGATAAGCTCAGATGGATCACCTGAACAAAAATAACTAATTTCTATTTAATTTTGCCACTATATCCTTCAAAACAATGATCATAGTCCATGCTTTTGTCGTAAAGGTCTTCATAACACAGATGTGTTTTTAAAAACTAAAAAAAGTCATGTTTCCCCATTATGAAAAAACCATGAACTTAAGTCTCTCATTTTTGCTTTCTTTGCCTCTCCCCAGCTTTACAGTTCCAACAGGCATCAGATTATCAAACATCAGCAACAAAATAAGGATAGTTAAAATATCAACACAATAACCCCCAAACTCAAACTACATTATTGAAATCTGCTTGACACAAATAACTTAGTTCCTGTACCTTATTTCTCCTAGGTGTTATTTACTTTTATATGAAAATCTTTTTTAAAGCAAGTTGGCAAAGGCCTATGTGTACATTTATGATCACAGAGGACAGGAAAAATGAAATATAATCTTGCTCACCCATGACAGGAAAAATGAAATATAACCTTGCTCACCCACATCCCTAATCAGAAAATGTCAGATTCTAGTAATCTTAAGAACTATACATCTTTGTGAAGCTCTGTATTAGATGAAATCAACCAGTGTACTTTTGTTAACCATCCCCAGGTTTGAATTCCAGGAGCCTGGAGGCAGAACATTCTCCACAGAGGCATAGAAAATTCATTTCCCCTCTACACTCAATAAAAACCCAAGCAGAGTAGTTTTTAGGGCACTGTGAAAAACTAATCTGTTTAGCTACGTATTTGCCTGATCATGTGGGAGAATCAGCAAGTGAAAGACCACAAATCTATTTCAAGTTAATATAACTAAAATGATATACTATTATCACATTGTGCTTCAAAAACTCAGTCAAGTATATCTCAAAAATAAAATTATCACCACACAAATCAAGAATCACCAGGTTAATACTAAAATCAAACACTCAGTGGCCTGTCCCTCCTGACTCTTAGAAAATAAGCAGTGATACTATCCATGTTAAATTTCATCTAAGCACTACAGTTCTGACAGAATAGTCATTTAAAATTCATATCACAGAGTAGAATGCCAGCCAGGAATCAAACTGTGACCCCTGAGCCAAAGCCAACTTACCACTCAGCTGGTAAGTGGGCAACTCAATTTACAAACTTGAATTCCTGCATTTTAATCCTTTGTAGAAATATATGAACAATATTAAATGAACTGGATTCAGCTCATTAAAGGTTAACAAACCAAACACAGAAAGCTTTGGAAGCCACCCAGAGCAAAGTCATGCCTAGGTGGTGATGTCCATTCAGTAATTACCCAATGTCATAATTATCTTTCAGCTTTTTCCCTGAAGAACATCAGTAGTCACAACTACAACAATGCTCAGCCAATTACATTAATCCTAGGAGAAGATGGATAGAACCAGCAGCCAATCACAGTGCCAAGACTTTGTTTCAAACAAATGTATAAGTATCTGAAATTCCCAAACAAAGCAATTCACTGAAAATTCCTCACCAAAGAACACAGTTTAAACTAACAACAACAAAAATCCATGTGCTCTGAAACCTTTGCTCAAAATCTTCCCTTATTTTTTCCATTTCAAAACTATTAAGAATTATTCATATAAACTTGGTATTATAAAAGCTGTATGTCTCCCTTAAAATGTTCCACACATTCAAAAATACATTCACTGTTATTTTTAGCCCATTAAATTTCAAAACAAGATACTGTATCTCAAAGCTGTATTATACTAAATGAAAAGAAGTAAAAGTAATACAGATTAGTTAGACCCTGGATTACAACTAACCCAGTATGAAGGTTTGACATTCTGCAGGCAGTATATTCAGCTTCTTACCAGATATTCAATTTTCCTTTCATTAATCAGAAAGATCTGGGCTTAATTAGAATTGGACATTTCTTTTGGTTAGCAGTAAAATACCTAATCTAAAATCTTAATTAAAAATTTACTAAAATACTTGATAAGCAATCTTCACCAATTTGTCCCTTCAAATACTCGTAAACCTAAGAGTCATTAGGTTCTAAAAGTATGTAAGAGTCACAGGGATTAAATAAAACCAAAAAGCTAAGAAAACTGAGATTACTTTGTATATTTGTGTATGTCCTCTACTCTAAGCCTTATACATTTGGGGAAGAAAATAATGAAAAAAAATTTTCCTAGGTAATCATCTTAACACACCCTCTCCATTTGTTTGATTCCCACTTTGGGACTGCAAACTAAGCCAATGTCTGAAACCTCTAGTAAGACTTTAACTCACTCAGAGGAGAGATAAGGGAGCATCCAGCTGCTTGCCATGAACAACACCTTCTGAAAACGACTTTCCAAAGTCACATCAGGGAAACCTAACAAAAAGGAAGGTGCAGAAACAAGGAGTATTGAGCACCCTCTTTTGTCCACTAGTCCCGCTACTTCTTCCTCCCTTCCTGCCTCTGTTCTCTTCCTGTGACAAAGCATCCTACAGAGCTACTGGCCCCAAGTGAAATCTGCCATGGATGAGGACTTCAGCAGCCAACTGCCTGGGCCTTCTCCCCTCAACTAAGGGCGAAGTAGCTCAGAAACTGAAATGACAACTAGAAAGAGAGAAAATCACAACTCTCACCTCACTTTTCATCATTTACAAATTCTCTGCCTCTCACAGCAGACTCAACTAGAGATTTTTACTCTACGAAGCAAAATATTGCTAGAAGAAAGGAACAATGTGGAAAAAAATAAAGAATACAGTTAGATATGCAACTGACTGCTAGAATTCTGAGTGGCTCATCTTTAATAATGGAGAGGTGAGATCTTTGGACAGTAACAAAGGCCGTTTAAGGAATCAACAGGTAGGATTCAGAGGCTGAGCTACATTCCCTACAACTGCCTTAATATAAAAGCATCCCCCAAGGAGGGGCAAGGATACAGAGGAAAAACAATACTCAATCTGCAAAAGAGAAGGTTCAGAGGCAACTTAATGATGAACTTTTAGTACACAGCTATGTATAGCGTCAAGTATGATAAATCATTCTCCACATCCACTTTGAAGAGAACAAAAGTGCTAACAAACGTTTAGGAAAGATTTTTGGCCAAATATAGGGAAGAATTTCCTGAGAGGAAGTACTGTTAACCCCCAGAATGGGTTATGGGCAGCATTATGAAATGCCCCAGGTCTGGAGGTAGTAAAATGTACACCAGCATCAGGCTGACACAGTCCCTGGGGGCTTAAAGCCCAGTGTGGCAATTTATAAGTAAGCCTTTCTGGTGTTCCTAGTAACTAAATACCCTAACAAGTCTGAATCTAATTTAGTCTTTTCCAAATTTCATGCTTTCACAGGCCAACATAACAAGGATATTCTCTCAAGTATCCAAAAGACTGTAGGTTTACTAATGCTAGAAGGTAAATTGTCATTAAAGGTAACTCCATTTAATTCTAGAGAAAAAGGAGAAAAATATTGGGTCTTTTGTTTAAGAGCAGGAAGTCTTGTTTGTTTTAAGTAAAAACACAAAACCCATAAAGAGCTAAGAAAACAGATGCACATCAAATCCTCTTATATGAAATACAGAAACTGTTTTCAAAAGGTACAAAACAAATAATTTAAGAAATGAAAGTAATATAAGTCGTTGGGAGGCTAAAAAAATTTTTTAAAGTTGATTCCATCTTCATGAAAAAGACCTTAAATGACTTGAAAATTCATCCAAAGACAGTCTATTCACAGCTCAAAATCTGACACAGTCTGACATTAGAAATGTTAGAATACCAAGTTCACTTCAGAGCTTAGATATATATAATTTGCTGCAAAATTATGACACAGTCCATACTTCAAACACAGGTAGTACCACTGGCCTGCAACCAAATGGATATTTTGTCCACTCTGTTCTAAGACGTTCATGTTTACATTTAAAAAAAAAAAGAAGAAAAATATTCCTGTGACTATTTAAAGAAACAACAAAAATTAAAAGAAAGCAGAAAGTCAGTGAAATGCCCTTTAATTCTCTTATCACCAATCCTGGGTAGACAGTAAAAGATAAAGTCAAAACTACCACCAAAAAAGGTGTGGAAGGGAGAAAAATCAGCACAAACCTGCTGCTGTGGGTACTGCATCCCCCCCATAGCCCCTGGCGTCCGACCCTGGATGCTGATTGGATACCGCTGTGGGCCTGGGGGGCCATAGGAACCTCCTGGGTATGGACTGCTCTGCTGGGGCTGAGAATGAGGGTTACTGCCCATCCCATACAACTGAGGTCTCTTCATCACCATTGGATCCATTGGGCTGCCCTGTGAAGAAATAAAGAAGTAGTTTTATTAATTCATTATTCATTACAAAGGCAGAATTTTTTCTTACATTAACATGCCTTAAAAACACAACTACCTTTAATTTTGAAAATATTAAAAACAATGACCTGACAAAACCTCAGAAGAGCATTAAGAAAAAAATGTAGATGGATACAAGACATTTTATTTTTTACTTTTAGGAAGGTTTTAATGATTAAGAAGGATCCAGAGTAAAAAATATAAAAAAGATTACACATCCTAAGCAGAGAGAAAACAACTGCATCTAAAACTCTGTTATGCATATAGAAAAAGAGCATGACCCAGCTTTTAGTTTACTAGCAATAAGGGCAGAGGACACGGAGTGCTTAGCAACACTTTCTGCCTTCAAAGTATTCTTAGAACAACGATTTTATTTTAGACCTGAGTCTGTAAGCCTTGATCAAACATTAGTGTATGTGAGTGTTCATTAAAAAGTGAAAGGATAGATTTTAGAATACAAAGTGTCTAGGGTGAAACTTTTCAAAGATCACTAGTGTGCAGGAATAAGCACCCAGACTATGAGTCACAAGCCACCTTCCCTATGTAAGTAAGCATCTTACCAAACCCATCGAGTTCAAAACTAGACTTTGAATTTTATTTTTGGTTTGGTGAGTCAGTCCCTGGGCCTCAGGGCCAAGGCCATATGGGAGAGCCAGGAGTGGAGCCTCAGCATGGCCTTCCCTCCAAGGCGTGTCGCAAAAGCAAAGCAGTGGAGAAATCCCTTGCCCAGTGCTACAAAGGCCGATAGCATTCACTCAACAGACCCTTCCTTCCAAAACCATATATTGATCCCTACACTGTGTGCAAGACTCTAGGTTCACACCAAGGTAAGTTCACGGGGACTCTCAGGAAGGCTTGAGGATTACCAGGACAAATGGGAACAGCAGGTTGGAGGTGGGAAGGGACAGGAAATAGAGTTCCACGAGAGAGAAGAAACAGCACAACGTACAGGCTCCAGGGAGAACTGCTCGGCGTGTATGAGCAAATGTAAGCAACTTAGAGCCAAGTGAAGCAGGAATTTGCAGAAAAGCTGAAGCAGGCAGAAGCCAGACCATGGGTGAGGCTTACAGGCCATTTTAAAGGCTTCGTATTGTCTCCTATGGATGAACCACAGCCGGCGTGTATGAGCAAATGTAAGCAACTTAGAGCCAAGTGAAGCAGGAATTTGCAGAAAAGCTGAAGCAGGCAGAAGCCAGAACATGGGTGAGGCTTACAGGCCATTTTAAAGGCTTCGTATTGTCTCCTATGGATGAACCACAGACCCACCTCTAGGAGGACTGCTCTGCTCTCTCAGGCGACTGGCCGGAAGCAGGTCGGGTTGCCCCAACAGGTGATTGAGGCTGAGGTCGTGAACTGGCAGCAGAGATGGGAGTAAGCAAGCCCAGATTCAAGTCACATTTAGGGGGAAGATGCAGTGGGACTTGGAGACAGGAGGCAAGGGTGGCCTGTTAAATGGTAATACACCAACTGAGATAGAGCATTCAGGGGGAGAAGGAGATCAATACTCTCCCAGGAGTGGGAGCCTTCAGTATTCTGCATGTAAAACCTGAGGTTCCAATAGGAAATCCAGGTGGAAATATCCAGAAAGAAGAGACAAACTGAGTCTTCAGCTTGGGGAGCATGGCTGACCTAGGAAAATAGGTAAGTCATCATATAGGAGACATATGTTCCCAGAGGGCTTTTTCTATGCTGTATCCACTATTACATATCCAGAACATAAGTCAAACAGTGTACCTGGTATACAGTAAGTGCTCAATAAATATGGGATGAATTGATCAACGGGGAAGTGTGTAAAACCCAAGAACTTTATCAGGTAAGTATATATGAAAAGAAAACAATAGGTAGAGGACAAAAAAAATCCTAGAGAATATCGTCATTTAAGGAAAAAGGAAAAAAAAGGAGCCCACAAAGAGGCCAAAAGAGTGGTCTGAAAATGTAGTTAAGAGATTCTAGAGAGTATGGTGTTATGGAAAAGAAGGGAGTCATGTACAGCAACAAAATAGCCATGCCCAGTGCAGCCCAGGGGTCCAACAGGGGCAGGTTAAAAGCTTCTGCTATACTTGCCTAGGAGTTAATTGCTGAGCATGGCAAAGACAGTCTCATTGCAGAGGTGAGGGCAGAAACTAGAAAACAAGGAACCGAGGTATGAAGAGGATGTAAAGAGGGGAACCAGGAATGTAGACACAAAACCCTAGTTGAAGAAGCTGTGAGAACCGCCCTTCTATCCACACTCCCACCTCTTGGCTGCATGTGGTCTTTTCCCTTTCTTCTTCTTGGTTACCCTGGTGTTCACTCTAATGATTTGATTAATACATTCACCACACATTTACTAAGTACCTACTATGTGCACTGTGCCAGGCACTGGTGGCAGAAAAATTAACAAGCCTCAGAGGCTGTCCTGGAGATTGACTGAAGGAGACAGACCATCCACTGGTCTGCCACAGGTTTTAACCAAGGCTTCCCACAGGAAATGCCTGAGCTCAGTCTTGAGGAAATCACAGGAATTTGTCAGGAACTAACCTCACCTGAATGGAGGACACAGGAGGAAAGAGGGTGCTCTGCCCTAGGCCTCACATCCTACAGAGAACAGTTCTGCTCAAAATTCAACAGCCAAGAAAAAGTTTGGACTTAAAAATCTCAGAAACTGAATGACAGTATACCGGTTTGCTCAAACAGTATAATGATGTTACACAATGTGCGCTGTCTTCACAATTAAACGTACAAACATATATGTTGATTTAAAACTAAAGTCTACAACCAAGAATTAGCTTTCTCAGAATTATTTATTTAAATTAGAATTTATGCCTGAAAAAGCAAAACGTAATTATTTCCCAGATTTTCTTTCAAAAAACAAAATGAAACTCTCTATGGATGTGTGAAAATCAAGGCTGAGTTGGTGATTTTAAAATCTGCCAAGTGAATGAACGGCCTACAGAGAGGCTGAGTAAATCAGATTTCAGGCTAAATTTCCAATACGGGGCCCTGCAGCAGCCCTATCTTCACATTCAATCTGGACAGCCCGGAGCATAGGAAAGGTCTACTTATTTCACTTTAAATAGTGCACAACCAAAACTGGCTTACCCGAAGCAAAAATTTTAAATGGGAAAATGATTGGAATGTCTATATTTTAATGCTATAGATAACAATGCAGCACATTCATCTTATCAGTGACTAAAACTGTTTTGTAGTATCTGTCTCATCACTGCCATCAAATCTCACAGCCCTACTTAAAATTCAGTTAAATTGCACCCATGTCAAAAATGTTAGCTTAACCCTGAGACTCCTGAAAATCGAAAGCATGAAATAGACAGATTATCTGTACCTCTCAAAATGCATCAAATATCTTTCAGTGAGACTTCAGATATAAAAACAACACTCAAACAGTTCAAATTATTTAATTTTAACCTTCTCTCCTTATGGCCTATTATTAAATAGCCATAAAATCCAGATATATCCCACTGTGTACTCTTGCTATTTTTAACATTATATATGTACAAATGCAGTATCTCAACCCCTACTTTTCACTATTTCCTTAAAGAAACCAAAACCCAAATCAAATCTTCATGTTTTCTAGAAAACATAAAGGCCAACTTGCTTCTCATACTCACATCTAACCCAAAACAATTTTATATTTTTTATCATCTATCTATTTCCAGAATATGACCACTTTCATTTCTCACATAAAATTTATGCTATAGCAGGGACATCATTCACATTAAGAATAGTCCTCAAATACCTCTCTTAATAGGCTATTCCAAGCATTTTTTTCCTTTCTAGACAGCATTGCACAACTTCAGCAGTTTGAGTGAGTTACAATTGGGGCAACTGCTTTGAAGGCCACAACATACGCATGTACCATCATTCTCAAAGAGCTCTTAACTAGTCTGGTTTTAGTTACTCAGTTTCTGATGCAATTTCACTACCTGATAAGACTTTCTTGCAATTCCTTCTTATTCAAATAAGCTTTTGGATATATACATATATATACACTTATATATATTCTCTCTCTCTCACACACACACACACCCTGAACCTTGGCTGGATCTTCTTTCAGGAAAGTGCAACTGATGCCTATGCGCTTAGGAGGTTTCCTATCCCTGGGACTGTTAACTAAGGAAGAAGTACATTATATTTTTAAAATATATACTTGTGTATAGATTCTAAGCATACTGGGTAGCACAGTTCAGCTATGTCATATGTTTGACAGGCTTTGAGAGACTGGCCTGGGAATCCAACAAACCTTTTTAAGATTATCCAAGTTAAAGAAGAACTTGCTTATATACTTTTAGCATACTTTAGGTACACTTTATACTTTTTACATTTAGATACTTTTTTATTATTACTCTTTCAGAGTATACCTACACATGTGTTTATAATAATGGTATCTATGTAATTGTATTTACTTCTAAATATCAAATTAAGGACATAGTTTAGTAGAGGTTTCTTTTTGAATATAATATTTCAGGATTCTTTCAGCCCCAATTCCTTAAACCACAAATCAGAGAAAGGTTTTGCAAAACCCACAGAAAGAACTATCACATCTTCTTAATCTATAATCATACCTATACATCTGGGTTAAGCAAGAGCTCACAGAAAGAAAGAAACTCTTCCCCTTCAGAACTGATGTTTTAGAAAATGTTCTCTTACTAGTAACTAAAGAAAACTTTTTAAGTAATATTCCATTACCTAGAAAACAGGCAAAAATAATCAAACCCAATGTGAGAAAATGAGTATTTGAACCAATAGGTATAAAAAAAAAGTGGTGAAACTCTTTTAGAAGGAAAATCTGGGAGTAACTAAGCTTTAACCAAAAGCTTTAAAAATGATAGTATCTTGTTCCAACTCTAAGATCTTGCTCAAATGGGGCAGGGGCTATTTATTCAAATTTGCACTGTGTGAGTTAGCACACTAAAAGGAGACCATGACCTGGTACAGCAGGGAAAGCATGGGCTTTGGATTCAGAGCGGGTTCACAGCCCTGTTTCTCCACTTTCTACCACTGTGGGACCTTGAATAAGTTGTTTCTTAGTTTTCTCATTCACTAAATGGGAAAAATAATACCTACCTCACAATTATTGTGACCATTAAGTTACCTAGAACTATAAAGGATCTCAGAGTTCAAGAAAACTACAGTGCCTGGAACCCAGTGGCCACCTACTAATTGTTCAAAGAAGAAAAACAGAAACAATCCAACTACTCAACAATTATAGAACCTGTGAACAAGCCCTAACATATCAACTTAATGTAATACAGAGACAGGGAAAAGCACACATGAAATAACGTTGAATTTTTAAATTGCGATGCACATGCATTATAGCTATGTGACCTGGGAATAGTTGCTGTCTATGCTGAAGCGACCTGTGTTTACTTTTCTGTGATGATGTCTAAATACAGCTCTAAACTGCCTCTGCTTCTCTCTATGCACACTAGGAACACTACTCTGGCCTTCCTCAGAGGGAGGGAGGGGAGGAGGCAGGAAGGTGGCGGCCGCACCACAGCTGTTGGGAGTTTGCCCCCTGCACCCCCGCTCACAGCATACACAGACGCTGGCCCACTCGGGCACACCCCTG